CATATTCATGTCCTGAAGACATGTATCACTGTTTATTCGATTGAGACTGCATGGAGGTGGTGCTGGGGAGGAAGGGAATATGCACAAATGGTTGGAGAGGAAGAGTAGAGTGTATGCTGCTTGCTTTTTCGTCTAAATGTGCCATGTTTGGTGCTTCAGGAACAAGTTGATTTTCGAGCATGTACGTGGATACCAATGTGGGCACGGTGCCGCTGTATTGGTGCTTATGGTCCTAACCATAACTAATTTCTATAAGTAACTATTATAACTTAATCATGACTAGTTTTAAATAACCAGTTTTAAATTTGTAATAATTAATTATATTTTAAAATAATTATATAATCGTTTTTGAAAGGAAGAAAAATAAATAATAATTAAATATTTAATAAATTTTTATATGATAATTTCATATTTTAACAATCGTTGTTATATAAACTAGCATAAAATAATATTTCGTATCTTGGTGAATTTTTTTTGTAAAATATAAAATTAAAATAAATTATAAAAAGAATTGATGTTAGATATCTTGAGTAATTAATAATTAAATAGAGTGAACAATTATGAGTAGCTATTTAAAGGTGTGAGATGTTTGAAAAATAAAATTAGAAAGAAATAAAATAAATAATGAGGTTAAAGGTAAAACATTCAATAAAACGTGTACATTAACAAAACTTATCACACTTATTAAATAGTATATATTAAAATATTTATTTTGAACAAAAAAAAAATATTAGAAACTAGTTTTCAACAAAAATTTTTTTTTGTTATTTTTATTCAATAAAAGCTTTTTTTTAAAGAATTTTATTTAAAACTATTGTTTTTAATTTATTATTTTTATTTTTAAATTAAATATTAATATTTTAAAATAAACTATCAATAATTAAACTAATTTCTTATAATAATATAAAAGTATTTATTTATTATTATTTTCAATTGATATATTTATACAATGAAAAGTATTTATTATAAATTTTAACTACATGAAATAAAAATTTATCATGTTTATTAATTTTAAAAGTTAATGTTTTAAAACTGGTTTTGATTATAACCCGTTAAAGAATCAGTTATGACATAACCCATTTTTAAAAGTTAAAACAGCTGGTTATGATAAATTAAAATTGGTTATAAAAAAATAATTATAGTTAATAATCATTTAGTATATATGATGATTAATTTTTATAACTATTTTAAAAATAATTAATTATTATAAAACCGGTTAATCATAGTTACAATTAATTTTTATATAATCCGTTATTTTGATCACCCTAAAAGGTCCTACCAAAGACACTAACAACTAGACTGTGGTCCAAATTTCTTGGACTCATCTGATTGCTGGTATTGTGGCCCTGAATGTGTGTTGCGAGACCCCTTAATGCTAGCTTTTTGGAGGTATAGCGTGTGATCATAATGGGTCCTTCCTCTTTGGATTTTATGGTGATGGGGTGGTGCTTCTATTATTCTTGTGGAAATCCTGGCCATTTTACACAGATTGACTCTTTGTTGGGACAAGGGATTCAGATCTGTGGTATGCTATTCCGACACTGCATGCTTATGTCTGCATCAAGAGGATGTTGCAGTGGGATTGGTCGTCCTGCATTCTTCATACATTACGTGAACGAAACATGTGGCAAAGTCTGGTGCTTCGTCAGATGAGGCTCTCCTTGTGTTGCAGGAACCTCCTCCTTGCATTCATAGCCTTTTATAGTTGCTCACTCCTTGGGTTTATCATACCCTTCAGGCTAGTTAGTGTCTGTTTCTGGTTTGGTTTCGAAATGTTTTTGCTTTTCATGTGGCTAGTATAGAAAAAAAAAAAAAAAACAAAAAAAAACAAAACATGAAAACTAAAGTTAAAATTTTTTATACAAGTGGTTAATATTTAAGTTTGATATTTGATAGAAACAATCTTTTATTAGATTTTATTTATCTTTTAGTTGAATCGAATTAATCTAACACAAAATCTAATAATCCTGATGCATAATCAAACAAAAGCTCTTGTGAAATTAAAATCGTCTCCCTTTTAAAGACACCTTAATTGTTAACTTTATTTGGTTTAACTCCTATTCTTTCGCAAGAAGATTTTTGAGCTTGTTTATTAGAATCTCAAAATCTTCTTGGCTTCTAATGAGACTGAGAAGCACGTAACGATTATTTGCACTATAAGGCCATTGATGCCAGCATTTCATAGCAATTCTTCTCTAGTCTCTCACACTTTATTAAGCAAATTGAAACCAAATTGTTATGTAAGGATATTAGGAGGCTAAAAGGTTATAATTACTCTTACAATAAAATCTACCATTAAAGATACTATAAGGAAAATAAAATTACATGTTCAATTTTTTTTTTTATTGATGCTTAATACAATGTAAACTTCACTTTAAATAATATCTCTAATAAATGACAATTCTACATGTATCATTATCTAGTCACTACAACATCTTTCATATTTAACAACATTTAAAAAATGTCGGTGGTGCCATTTTCCGACGTCATTTAGGTGACGTAAAAGCCTCTATTTGCACTTGTGATAGTTTAATTTCTAGAAGACTAATATTTCAAACTTAGTTGTTAATTGAGTAAAGTTATTGTGGTGACCGATGTTTTGTGTAAGAAACCTTTATATTTATCTTCCCTTATGATTAGAGAGATGAATCCTTTTGGCTCAAATTAGAGATTTAAGTTTGGCTTATAAGGTTACTCTTAGTAGTGTGAGACTAAGTATGACTTGAGTAACGAATGGATTGTTGAAGGAAATTGGAGAAGCACAATTTTGGTGACAAGATATGAGGCTATAGGATAAGGTGATGGATAAGAGTTTGACTTGGGTGTAGATGGAGTGGTGAAATTAGAGATCTGATATGTATACCTAGTGAACTTACGCTTAGGTGCTTAATCTTTAGAGATGATCATAGAAGTAAAACCAATGTTGTAGCAGATGCCTTGATTATGATAACCTCTGGTATATCGTTTATGATGATTTAAGGGTTGGATTTGATTGAAGAATTTAGAGACTTATGCTTTGTGTGTGAGATTATCCTTAGGAGCATTGAATTGATTATGTTGAAAGTGACTAGTGAATTAATGGATGAGATTAGAGAAGCCTAGGAGTTAGAGCCTTTCTTAGAGAACCAAGTGGAAAAGATTGGTAGGAGTGTAGATAATTTTTTTGAGTAGAATCGATGTTATTTTGAGGTGCAAGAACAAATTTGGGTGCTTAGTAACCTTCAATTAAGAAAGATGATTTTAGAGGAAGGACATT